GAAAAGACTTGATAGCCCATTCAACTGCCGGTGCAATGATAACCTTTTTTGCGACATCCCAGTCGTTCTTTCTTGGGCGTTTAGCGCCCTCAAAGATGGACGGTCTGTTGTTATCATGAGTCAGATTTTCAGGAAAGCGGTTTTCTATCAAAAGCTCTAACGTTTCTTTACTAGAGGTCGTAAATGTTCCATCGGATCGTTTTAACGACCCAATTTCAGCAGTCGGCTCTCTAGAGAGAATTTTGTGAATTCTTGTGCTGCGAGGTAAATCAGAAATACTTTCACAGAACTTCCTGCAAGACTCCCGTTTTGCCTTTCTAATTTCCTTGTGGTATGTCTTCAGAGTGATTTTATGAAGCTCTCAGTTACCTGATTCTTTAGCTCGATTGAATAGTAGTCTTCTTCCACTTTCAAGGCTTTTGTTCCACCGAGAAGAGTTGCGGTTATCTCTTTTGACCCTCAGTGGACAGTTCTCATGATAGGATGAGATCACTGCTTCGCGAAATTGCGTCGCTACTGTATCCATATCATCACAAGTGTGAATAGTACTGAATCTGAGTTTTTATATTCCCTTCAGTCAGTTGATTTTGAGTCACGATATTCCACTACTGGTCTTTGACCTGTTTCAGTATTGGAAAGAATATATATATGGTCTGAACGAGAAGGTTCAGTAGATACAGACCAATGGTGTATCTTGTTGCTCAGAGAATGTGAGCTGAGGGTTGAATCAAATACCTCTTGCCTATTACTAGTGACAAAAGTTGGATCCGAGCCCTCATTGATTACAGACAGCCCTTTCCCTAGTATATAATCAAAGAGTAACTCACCCCTACGGTTTATATTCGTACTGCCCCACGCTGTATGGTGTGAATTGGCGTCACATCCCAATACTATTTGTAGTTTGTTCCTTTTGCTATAGTCGATAAGTCGTCTAACAGCAAGAGGAGGTACAGTATCCGAATCTTCCGGAGGCGACAAAATTCGTCTTACCCTTCTTGCCCGATAGGAAAATTTGGATGGCTACCACGTCTTGGGTGCAGAAGCATGTGAGCAAAAAATGGTTAATACCTTTCCTGATGACTAGACATGCTCTGGGTTTCACCCCAGGGCACGCTTCCACCTCACCATGAATATTGCTCAGTCCGGTTACTTGGCCTGTATTTCCTGTCCATGGTTCCTGCAGGAAGGCAAAGTCGATTAATTCATCCTTGAAGTTTTTTCCAAGGAAGTATGAAGCGGCCTTGGCATGTTGTAAGTTTGCCTGCAAACACTTGAAGATAACAAGTGTTGCCGCAAACTTAGAACTCCTCGACCCTAGGAGGTAGAAGATGAAGGGTCCTTAATGACATCTCCACCCTCCTCTCCTGAGATAGAGAGATGTGTAGGCACAGATGATGAGGTGAGGACACCTGCTGTCTCTGAGTTGCCTGCTAATTTATTGGATTTTTTTGACGGGACGATTTCCGTCTTTTCTTTCAGAGAGCCACGTCCAGCCTTTTTTCCTAGTTTACTCGACGAGACGTTGGCCGTCTTTGTCTCCTGAGAAACACCTGTTTTCCCGGCCTTGGGCTGGGTGTGAGCCGGTGGTTTACCCCTATGTTTGGGTTGAGGTTTGGTTGAACTCCTCCCCATAGGTGGATTTCCACTTGACCCCGCTTTATTTACTCTAACGGATACACTAGAGTGACTCGTTTGAGTAGTTTTCTGCTGGGAGGGTGCACAGGTTTTAGGGCAGAATCAGACCTGTCCAAAACCAAAATGTGGTCTGAAACCCATCCTCGCCAGCACGGCCATGGATCCATCGTCTACTGCGAAGGTCCATGTTTGACCAGGGCCTGACTTTTCCTTGTGGAGGATCGTTCACTCCAAGGTTGACAGACCATGTTTCATTTTCCTCAATCTAGTGAGGACCTGTTCGGAGGTAGGTAAGCTCCGTCAGGTAGGTAAGCAACACAGATCTGTGGCTTCGGAAGTTGGTCTCCTGTGACGCATTTCAGGGAAGCGCCCTCCCACGGTTGCAGGGTATTAACTACACCCGCAAGTCACTCAGCGCTTACCTGATCCTCACAGACGATCTGTAACCATCCAGGCTGAAAGACGCAGCTCTGGAATTGTACCTGCGGCCCATCGTCTGGAATAATCTCCACATCCGATAAAATAGTCTCCTGAAGAGATTCCAGCTGGTTGGCCATCAATGAGGTAGTCCTATAATTGAGGTGCAAAATTCCCACCTTGATTTTCGCGACAACCTTCCCATAAGAAGGTTTTTGCACATCAGGTACACCTGACGATGCCTTAGATTCAGCCGTGCAGGGCTTTTTCGCCTCTGGTTCCGGTGAATCATCATTTGAGCGCAATCGTTTGCTAACCTACTCATCGGGGTTTGTTCCCCAACCTGAGACAGAGTCTGCGTACGCCGCTCAAGAATTTGGTGTAAGGCGATTTCATAAGGTACTCCGCTCTTGAGAAGACGACCCAGTCGTTTCCTGGCTGTACACTAAACCTTTTCCCAGGTTCAGTTTTTGAATCAAGATTTGGAGAGTTGAGAAGCTCTCGCTCCTGATGTAAACTCACAGGGAGGTCGGCTGGAGTCGTGAGCTCGACATCCATCTCCTGTGTAGACTCAGCGTCAGAAAGAAAATTAAAATTTACTCTGACCATAAAAGTCCCACGAGTAGCCTCTCGGTACGGATACACACATCTTGGGATCAAGTCATCGTTGGGATGCCATTCAGTTTGGTAATAACAGAACCACACGTGATTCTGTCATATCCGGATCCAGCGGGGCTACGTGGAAGCAGGCATCCGATGGCCGGTTTGCTCAATCCCCACATCCCAAGCCAAAGCACTGGCCGTAAACAGCATGCACAGTGGTTCAGGCAGTGAAAGATGAACAAGGACAACCAACCCGCCATAGTATACTAAAATGCGTTCCAAATTTCAATTGGTTTTTTATGTTGAGGCCTAAAAATTTGTTCTCTAGTTTATGATCAATGATGTTTTCTTCAAGAATTATATGGTCCAGGTTAGATTTGAAGGATATTATATCAGTCTTTGATATATTGAAAGATAATAAATTGGCATCACATCATTGTTTAATTTTGCCTATATCATGCTCTACCCTAATTTTTACTGCATCAGTGATTCTTCCATGCCAAAGTATAGACCTGTCATCAGCAAAACTTGTGAATTTGCCTTCAATCGATATAAATATTTATGCCAGATCATTTATATATAATGAAAACAGCAACGAGCCGAGGACAGATCCCTGAGGTATTCCGCATTTAATGCTCATTTTATCTCAAGATGAACTTTTGAAATTCACTGTTCGAACGCGGTCTGATAGATACGACTCAAACCACAACAAGATGTTTTCTCTATATTTTCTAGGAAATAAAATCAGAAAACACAAAGACTTAATAAATGTACTAATAATGTCAAATGAAGCTTTGGGGTATAATGTGTCCCAAAAATACATATATTGGACTCTCATTTGCATATGGTTGCTATAAGTGACGTAAAAGGTGTGAGATTCCATCAGGACATTTCCTTAATGGAGAAACGTTATCAATAGAAATGGAGTCCAGGAATGCTAGCAGATCATTGTTGGAAACCTGAAGGGGCCCACCACAAGACAAATCTTCACGAAAATCATTAATATTCATTGTACATTGAGTATTAATTTCTCCAAGTGTAGCTGATTTTTCTATATTTTACGAAAATATATGCTTTGACGTCAAGAGAAAACTTGATGTGGCCCTAGTAGATTCAAAGTTTGATATGAGTTTTCATGTGACGAAAAACAGTTGAAATTCTGTTGAACAGTGTAATCCGAAAACGCAGTGGCGGTGCAACCTTTGAGCGACACGGCGAATGGCAATCAACCACAACGGGAGAGGAATATATCAATGAGAGTCAGAAAATTTTCTCTAGCAGATGAAATCTTGTAATTTTTTGAAAATAAAATAGCATCTACCATATCTATTTCTACAAACATTCAAAAGTCATTAAAAATTCAAGATTAAGTACCTGCAATTGATATTGTTAAATGTCAATATACATTTTTCTAGTCATAATTAGCTATCAAGTTGTGAAAAGGGGGAGTTGAAAGTTGAATAAATATATTACCATTCGATCGTAAAAAAGTATACTATTCGTGCATAAAAACCTATTTCACACTTGTGTAGCTGATTTTTCTATATTTTACGAAAATATATGCTTTGACGTCAAGAGAAAACTTGATGTGGCCCTAGTAGATTCAAAGTTTGATATGAGTTTTCATGTGACGAAAAACAGTTGAAATTCTGTTGAACAGTGTAATCCGAAAACGCAGTGGCGGTGCAACCTTTGAGCGACACGGCGAATGGCAATCAACCACAACGGGAGAGGAATATATCAATGAGAGTCAGAAAATTTTCTCTAGCAGATGAAATCTTGTAATTTTTTGAAAATAAAATAGCATCTACCATATCTATTTCTACAAACATTCAAAAGTCATTAAAAATTCAAGATTAAGTACCTGCAATTGATATTGTTAAATGTCAATATACATTTTTCTAGTCATAATTAGCTATCAAGTTGTGAAAAGGGGGAGTTGAAAGTTGAATAAATATATTACCATTCGATCGTAAAAAAGTATACTATTCGTGCATAAAAACCTATTTCACACTTCATGAGGAAATGGGTACTTCATGCATTTGCAAATAACATTCTACTTTTGATGGACTGTTTGGAACGTTTGGTTTACCTAGTAATGAATATTACTAGAGTTTTTTCAAAAAATCAAACTGTATGATCTTCCTTTTGAAGGTGATCACTTGGTGATCAAAACACATGTCGAGGTGTTAAAATAACGGTCTGGTGTTGAGAAAAAACTCTTTGTGATTACTGATGAAAATTTCTGTGTTTCATGAGTGATTGTGAAAATTACAAATATATAGAAATAGTTGTATAAAATATTTCTTTCCCCATAACCTCAATAATTCTATTCAATTTTGCAGTTAGTGACTCCAAACGAGAAAGTGGGAAGCTTGGGATTGACTATAGTGAGTCCTCAGCTTACCGCTGGCCAAGGACTGCTGGTCGAAGCGATATTAACTTTCCTTCTTGTCTTTGTGGTTCACGGTGTGTGTGATTCTAACCGTAAAGATATTGCTGGATCCATTCCAGTTGCCATAGGATTGGCTGTTTCAGCAGCTCACTTGTGTGGGGTAAGTTTCTGGAATATTGTGAACCATATTCACCTTATTCACTTCTTCATTTCCATTTCAAATATCACGAGCTGAAATATATAAAACCAATTGATTTGTTGAATGATGAAATATTTTTGACCTGTTTTTTCTGGATAGCAGCATAGTTCAAATTAAAAATAATTCTATGGTTGGCATTTTATTTTTTTTCTATTACCTTTAATTTGATTTTTAATATACAGGGTCTTTCATGACGAGTGTTCGTTAGGAATATATGGAGAACAATTCAAAATAAAAACTTGAAATTTTGTGGTAGTAGGTTTTACAAAATGGATTTCTCAACTAAAATATTTTCAACTTCCGTCTCTTTCCGTTATATCGGAAGCAACTTCCTCATTTCAAATAGAACACCCTTTATGTTATTACATTTTTAATTTCTCAGAACATTTCAGTCCTACTTTGTATAACAATACCTATACCCAAATTTGTTAGTTTTCGAAATATTATTTTTTTTCTGAAAAATTTGACAGAAAAAATCATAACTCATAGACAGTAACAGTTGAAAATGTGAAATTTCACAGGAGAGCACCTTGAGCATCAAGTCATGAACAGGTCCATCGAATTTTCGATGGACAGGGTGGAATATAGTATTGTTTTCATTTGAAAAAATCGAGTTTCATCAGTTTTCTCAATGTTATGTTCTAGGTGGAAATTTCGACCACCCTGTAAATTATTTTAGGTAATTCTATTGACCTATTCATGACTTAATGCTTAAGGTGTGATTATGTGAAATTTCACATTTTGAACTGTTACTGTCTATGAGTTATGATTTTTTCGGAGTGGTGCTGTAACTGTCAAATTTTTCAGAAAAAAATTAATATCTCGAAAACTGGGTATAGGCATTGATAAACAAAGTGGACCCAAAATGTACTGAGAAATTAAAAAATGTAATAAAATACAGGGTGTTCGATTCGAAATAAGGAAGTTGCCCTCAACTTCCGGTATAGCGAAAAGAGACCGGGAGTTGAAAATATTTTATTTGAGAAGGTCATTTTGTGAAACCATTTATCAGGAAATTTCAAGTTTTTATTTTGAATCGTTCTCCATATATTCCTAACGACAGCTCGTCGTGAAAGACCCTGTATTCTTATTCATAACTACATAAATTTCTAAATCATATTACATTACTGACTGCGATTGATATTTGCAAAATATCTTCTTTGTTTACTGTCATTTCATAGAATTTTGTAAAAGATGAGAATTTCCGAAATAATAATACCAATTGGATTGAATTATAACCTGATTATTGATCAGTGATAACTATCGAAACCAATATTTTGAATGAGATGTTCCGACGACTGTGAAAGAATAATCGTAGTTATATTCGTTGAATGAATTTTCAACAGAAAACGAATACTTGTGATGAACCTTTGGTGTAGTAATGAATATAACTGCAGTTTTATATCATCAAACCGTACCCCAAATCGTTATTTCAAAACCTTGACACGTGTTTCGATTACCATGTGATCATCTTCAAGGGAGAGATTGAGTTAGTTTATTGTTTCTCTTCGAAAGACTGACTCACTCGGTGATCGAAACACGTGTCGAGGTGTTAAAATAACGTTTTTGTATTGGTTTAAAACTCCAGTAATAGAAAAATAATGTACTGACAAATTACCGATGAAAATGAATATTTCCAAAAATCTGAGGATTATATCAAATTCCAACCTATTCCTACTCATCAAATATTCTAACTGGATATGGAAGTGAATTACCACACCGGAAACACTCACTTAGTTTTCGGAAACATGATCAATCAAAATGAATCTTTGAATCCCTCAATGATTGCAACTTTTTATCGCATCAATTTTAATAAACTTGAAAAAATATATACCCAGCATTGGCCAATGTTTTCAATATTCAATATAATTGATACTTTCAATTAAAAAAAAATCTTAATTTTCAAGACAGGGAATATACAAGTGATAGTTTGAAGTGGGAGAGGTGTGCAATTAGAACATGTGACGAACAAGATTCGTATTTGTTCGACTTCTATTCACACTCTCAGATCCACGAGGAATGCGATGCATCACAATGATTTTAATATCTGCCGACCAGTCGAACCTAGCTGCTTGGTATCATCGTCAATAATGTTCCAGTGAGTTGTTTGAACTCGCAAAATACATTGATAACTAATAATAATTTAGTTGAATCAATTGAGAAAAAATACCATGGAGTTATAGACGAAAATCAATCTCTGAAAATTAAACCTCATTAAAATGTATGCTCAACTGCCAGAAGACAATGTTCAAATAAAAAAAATGTTTTTAGTAAAAATCCAAAAAATATATACTCACATTATATATTATGTTGATGGAATTGATGACATATGTGAAGACTGATCTACATCTTTTTTTTTTTATTTTTGTCGCATTCGGGAAACACATGCTGATGGAATCTGTATCTCTGAAAATAACAAAATCAAAAGTGAGGATAGACGCCTCAACCCAAGCAGAAGATAGGTGCTACAAGCTTTACGAAAATAAGATCATCATATCACAGGAATTCACCTAGGCAATAGTCGATAACCAAAGACAAACTCTCACTATCAACAATCAATAGTACTCATGTACTGAGTGGAACATCAGGAAAACTTTCTTTCAGAACCAATCGGTTCAAGAATTGACTAAAGTAAATAAAACTTTCATTTGACCCCAGTGTAACGTAGTTTGGTGCCAAAAATATAAACGAGAACATTTTGAAAGATAAAAAATGAAAACAGAGTCGTCACAAAATCTTTAAAAAAATTGTAATGATCTTTCAGAAATTCCTTTTGTAGATGTGTTGATGCTGCATTTTCAATTTCGTTCTCATTCAAATAATTCACCTTACTATACTCTCATATATTGCATCTCAAACAATACTGAAATATTTTCAGCAAGTAAAACTTGGTTGAGTGAACAGAGTTATATGATATCAAACGAGAGTCTCTCAATGTCTGAACTTGACAACTGTTACTACATTTTTATGAAATAAAATTGATGACTCAAGACCAAACTAGACAAAAAATAATCCAGAACTCATATTAACGTCTCTTTTTACGTACGTCTCTTTCAGGTACAAATGAGTTAATTGAATATAATTTCATTACATAAACCAAATCTTCTGACGTCCATACATAAAATTATTGAGACCTCATTCTGTCATACCTTAAACCCAAACTGAAAAGATTCTAAAATATTAATAATATTTCCACGAAAACCGGAACTAGTCACTCCCGAATTTCAAAAAAAAAGATGTAAAGAATTTTTTCATGATTTCATTTAGTTATGGATCATCCTGGTATTACTACTTTGGACTATCTGCAATCATATTATTATATTTCCACTTGTCTCTAGATAGAGATGAAATGAATATTTCAATGTGGTTGATAGGTTACATTGAATATCACTGAGAAGTGACACTTGCCTTAAGATTATTTTCAATAAATACAATTTTCATCAATATGAAGTATTTCCATTTGAACTGAGACCTCATATTTATCAGACCAATCTTGGAATAATCAACAACCTGCCATGATGTTGTCCATCATTATGTTGTCACATCATCGAATTGTTTTATTGCTTCGAGCTTTTATGTGTTCTGTATACATTGTGTTACATCGTGTTATATAGTGATATGTTAACTATTTTATTACCTACCCACTGGAATAATTGTTTTCATACCCTAGTATAATTTATTGTAATATGGAACTCACTATTCTGATTTGTGTTGTGTTATGGGAAAATATTCTCAGGAATACATTTCAATTTTTATCTTTTTATCAGGATGTATTCAAATTCATATTTTTTGTTAGTATAAATGAATAAATTTTGGTGAGGTTGTCGATGTCTGTCTTTTTGTTGATATTGTTTTCTTTAATTTTGATTTCAGCCATTTCCAGAAATTGCCTTGTCAATAGAATATGAAGTTATGATGGAAAAATATTGAAGAGAAACATTATGTTTGTCACACCAATCGAGGACCGCCTGTCAGTACTGCAATGCCTAATAGACTGAAACATCTGTTTACCGGTGCCTCTCAAATTGAAATCAATATGGGAATGATCAGAATTTATCTTTTGATTTTCATGGAATTATTTTCCAGCAGCTTGACAGCATTAACCATTCTCGATTTCATATAATTTCTAGAAACATGTAGAGTCGTTTTCCGATGGCATTCCCAGTTAGCTTTCCAAATTTCTGCTACCACAGTTGTCGATTGATCAAACCACTAACACTGACATGAAAACTTGGCAAGTCGACTTGGTGGTTCCACTTATGTCTTGCTTGCGTTTACGCAGCTATTTTTATTAGGTACTTTTCTTGGTACTGACGATGCCAAATAGGCTGAAACAGCTGTCTACCGGTGGTGGTCTATATATCGGTTTATATAACTATCTGTCTATATATTACAGTAGCTTTTTCGTAGTGAAAAACATACTATATAAGTTATACATAACATATAGTGTTTTTCACATAACATATTTTATACATGTAACATATACATATACACTGTATATATATATATATATATATATATATATATATATATATATATATATATTATTGTTAGAAAAATCTTTATAATATTTTGAGAATTTTCATATAATATTTTCACCTTTTTGGACCTGTATTCATATTAGGATTCCCTATTTTCAAATGAATGAATAAATGAAAAATATTGAATATCATAATGAAAGGCTGAAATGAGCTGCGGAACGACAGACACTCATGAACCATCGAATGACTGTCATACTTATAAGTTATTAAACTGACTTTATACAGATCAAATCTGTTCACGAAACCAATGAATTTCTATTCATTACATATTAGTTATTGGATATAAAAATATACGCTTGTATTTCAAATTGAATCGAGTACAAGGGGGTGGATTTTGTTCAATATGCAGTGTTAGTGATGTTTCGTAAAGAAGCTATAATTTAAAACTTCAAATAACTTTGTTCCCAGATTCAATACACTGGATCGAGCATCAACCCTGCCAGAACATTTGGGCCTGCAGTTATAATGAATTCTTGGGAATATCATTGGGTGAGTATATGTCGATTTTTCTCTAAAATTGAATGTCTAACAAAGTGAATTGACCCCTGGTCCCAATGAATTGACTGGTATCTAGACAGAAATATGAATACTCCGATATGGTATTGTTAATGTGGTAAATTTCAGAGAAAAATAAAATAAGTCGATGCATGTGGTGATCAATTACACGAAAATATTCTTTGCATGCATATTTCTATTACAATTTGACACCATTACTTCAGTTCTTGTTTTTTTAACTTATCAATTTCGAGAAAACTCGAATAGCCAGTTTTTTGTTCAAATGGGAAGGTACTATAGATCTCTCCATTTTGTCCTAACATATTATCTGTTGTGAACAGAACCTCAGTTGAAGAAAACGTTTTTTCGTGGGAGAATATTGGAAAATTAACGTTTGATGCTTTTTTGCACCATTGTAATTAGTAACATTTACGAGTAGGTGTGTTTTTAAATACATATCTGATCATAAGAAAACACGAAGTATTTTTATATAACCCTTTCAAATCAAACGAAGTAGGTCTACTGAGTTATCTTGAAATATATCATAATTTTCAATGTTGATCGAATATAATGAAGGCTGTATCATTCAAAAAAGCTTCACTTCTTGATTGTTGTATACTCATAGTAATCGAAATATTCGAATAAATGACTTCAGTGGGCGACCAACAGGGATCATTGATCATTTTTGTAGTGAGAAACATCAAGATTTGAATAATCTGAAAAGGTATTCATCAGCTCAGTCGAAGAGAATTTAATACATTCATATATATTAGTTATTCAAAATGGAATCGACTGAGAGAAGCTACAGCACCAAAGTCATCATAGATTGTAAGAAATTCAATCAAAAACTGAAAATTCAAGAAATGAAAATTACGGAAATCGTTATATTTTTTAAAGAAATTGTTTCCCTGTAACGATCGTATGAGGTAGATATGAGGAAGAAAATACTGTCAAAGGTCACAGTGGTCAAATTTGGGTATCTCCCAATCTGACAAGTGGATGCAATTATGAAGTTATTCATTAAAACTGAATCATTATTATCAGTCGATATGACCTTCTATGAAAGCAGGAAAGAACAAGTACGACATTATTTTTATTTGTATGATAACTCAAAACGTACATTTGTTTTCTTTGCAGAATTCCATTACAACCAGCTACATTTAGTTATTCGGACAGTTTGATTGAAGACTAAAATTTTCATGAATGTTGAATGATTTTCTAAAATAATCACTTCTGAAACTGTAACACCAATTTTGGTATCCACAAACTAATTAAATTCTTGTGATTTTGATAATTTCATTTTTGTTTCAGGTTTATTGGGTAGGACCATTATTGGGGGGAGTTGTTGCTGGAATTTTGTACAGGACTCTTTTTCGTGTCAGAAAAGGCGAATCCGACGGATACGACTTCTGAAATGTATGTTGTCCAAAATTTAGAATAGATCAAAATGAAAAATATTAACTCGTCAAATAATTTTACATCATCCACTGCGCCATGTAATCGAATAATTGGTGACGGTTTGTTTTTAGATTCCACAGTATTACTTTGTGATTAATCATCAATAATATAAATTTTATCAAACTGTGAAGTTTCATTCTGCCCTTGATTTTTACCACGGTACTCCGTTTCATTCTATCGATTCCACATATTGTATATATAAATGCTCATCATGCTGAAAGAATAATGCCTTCAGGAACAAGTGGACCTTGTATTGAAATGAAAGAAAACAAATAGACATAAGTTCAATAGTTAGACCACTACATATTTGGGAGTAGAAATTCAAAACTATGAAATTGATGGAGGTCAAGAAATAAAAGAAACATTGAACAGAAATGGTAAGTGGCCTAAAACTTAAATTTATAATATTTTTGGAAAACATCTTTGTAACTCATGGAAAATTTTTAACAGAGTAGTAGAACTAAAGGGAATGGAGACCATGATGATTTGGAGTTCATTCTGAATCAGTAAAGTGAATAAAAATTACCAATAAGAATCACAATGGAGAAATAAAACGAAACAAAATTGTGAATTTTATTTTTTTACGTGAAGTTGAAACATCTTCGGATGGAAATGCTGTATACCTGTCGAAAAAAAAATTAGTTTCTACAAGAGCAACCATTTTGAACAAAATGTGGGTTGGAGTAGATGAAATAAGTTGTCTTCGTAAAGTATCAAATATAATTTGCAATTTCACGAAGAATATTATTGAACAAATATCACTAGTACAATTTGTTTTGGAATACATATCTTCCAATAATGATAAATATAATGAATAATACTAACAACATAACCATGTGACCTTAAAAACATACCATATTATTCAATAGTCGCCAATGCAAAAATCATTTTTGGCAAAATAGCAACAAATCGCTTGTACTCAGAGCGGACTCAATGCGTTTGATGGAACTGAATTATTTTGTAACGTTGAAATAAAGATTAAATATCAACATAATTTGCAACAAAGTTCAGTACGACAAGTAACTCACTTTGGTCTCTTTTTCCCCACACATTGGCCAGATCTGATGGTAAAGTTTGGTTTAAACTTGAAACTGAATGCTAGGTTTTTCTCGAAGGACGAGTTTTCATGTATGCCGATGACACAACAATCATTGTGACGTCCTCAGGTCTAAATGAATATAACGAAACTAGTAATCAATGAATTCGAATGTTGGTGTAGAAACAATCATTTAATAAATAATGAAGATAAAACAACATTTATCCAGTTTTCAAGGGAATATCAGCCCCCTCTCCAAATGAATCTAGGATTCGAAACAACAGAATATACAAAATTCCTTGGAACACAACTTGACAATAAATTGGCTTTCAATAATCACATCGAATACTTGTGTACTTCTCTGAAAAAAATATATTTTGCCTTCCTAACAATGAAATCAAATTTTTCGAGACATAATCTCTTGGATATATACTATGTTCTAGTGTATTCTAAGCCTAATATAAATATTACCATTTGGGGATACTCATCACAAATAAATAGAATCTTTATAATGAAAAAACGCTTCATTAGACTAACTTTTGATCCCAAATACAGAGAATGTTGTAAGAAAACATTCCAAGACAAAACATTTTTCACATTACCATATATTTATCTTCACAAAATATTACGCTACGTTCGTGTACATTCCCATTTGCTAACAAGAGATGAAGAAATTCATTCTTATCAAACGAGACAGAGAAACAATCAGGAAAAAATAAACCGTAATGACTACAAAGGTTCACCACTTTATGCCGGGGCAAAATATTTCAACTTATTACAACACAGCATCAGAAGTGAAATACATTTTTTCTAATTCAAGAAAAAAGTCAAAGACTTGTTTGGTAACAAGTTGTTTTTACTCCCTGAAAGAGTATAAAAATGATATTTTTGTGTAACATGTGCTGTTATTGATATAAGTGATATTAGATGAAATATCTATGTGACGTGTCATATACAGGCTGATTCACGGTGGATGGCACATGAGACGTTTCTGGTGAACCAGACAACGGATCACTTTGAAAATTTAACGAAGGGCATATCCGGACATACTCTAGCCAACTAAAATATTTTCGACAATGCGTTGTTGCCGCTTCTATTAGAAAGCAGTAGCAACTTTGATTTTTCAAATGGAACACTCTGTATATAATATTATTTTTGGAATCTCCAACAATTGCCCGACAACTTTTCTTGATATTTCCCTATACCTATCTGTTACCGTTTTCGAAATAAAAATTAATTTCAATTTTTTTCTTCGAAAATCATGACTTCTAAAAATGCCGATATCTTTTAGTTAAGAAGTACTATGATATCGAAATTTGGTTTGGA